CTGACTTCTTTATTTGACTCTCTCCCATTTCTCCATGACTTTACTATAATCTTTACTTACTATCGCCATACAATTGTGCCTACCTGACCCGTGATGATTTGTTTCGGGATCTCTGCCCCCACATGTGGAGCTTTCATAGTACCATTTTTTCCTGTCAAGCAAGCATCGAGCAACTCTCTCTGAGTTAGTGCATCTAGTGGCATCACCTGGGAAAGTTCTCTCTGCTCACAGTGAAATTTTTTGTAAAAGCAGTTTCAGGATACAGTTGTGAAATTTTGTTTCCTGCTTGGGAAAAATGCCCCAGAAACTGTTGTGATGTTGAGCACAGCTTACAAGGACAGCACTATGGGAATAACTCAAGTGTACAAGTGGTTTTCTCATTTGAAAAATATGAAATGTCGATGGATGAGAAACCTCATTCTGAATGTCTGTCAACTTCCTGAACAGATAGACTTGTAAGTGCATTTGGAGTTCCAACAGGTCAGACTGTTAATTAAGCTTCCTATTTAGAGGTTCTGAAAAGATTGTGTAACAGTGTGTGATTAAAAAGATCTGATTTGTGGTAGATGGGGGACTGATTTTGCCACCAGGACAATGCACCTGCTCACACAGCCTGCACCAGTTTTGGGCAAAAACCATCATGGCTCTCTTGCCTCACACACCTTATTTACCTGACGTTGCTTTATGTGACTTCTTTCTGTTTCCTTGAATGAAGGGGGACATGAAAGGACAGTGATTTGATGTTATAGAAGAGGTGAAGAAATGTGGGGGAAGCCAGCCCCTCACACTATCATGGGTTCAGTAAGTGCAATTGTTTGGTTAAAATATATATAAAGAGTGCTCGCTTCGGCAGCACATATACTAAAATTGGAACGATACAGAGAAGATTAGCATGGCCCCTGCGCAAGGATGACACGCAAATTCGTGAAGCGTTCCATATTTTTCGATAACAGTTGTATGAGCCCCTAATAAAATGTTTAAAAACAAACAAACACCAAAAACCTAAAAAAAATAAAATAATATATATATAAAGATTAAAGTAAAGTCAGAGAATAATAGTGATAGGAGAGAGAGTAAAATAAAGAAGTCAGACACATTTCATGGTAGCATGCTCACTTCCTGTATGGCCATGATCTCACCAGCCAGGTACTTGCAAAAGTGTGGGCTGAGAGGGCAGGAGGGGTCTCTGTTTCTGGCCAAAGCCCACATATACTTAGTGGGGCATGATTACAGGAAACCACACACATCACAGGAAGGGGCTGTACAATAGGCATGAGTGACAGGAAGGGGATGAGCTAGGGTGTGCATGTGACAAGATGGGCAGACCCTAGATTCATGATGGTGGCCTAACCTTGGTCACCCTTGAGTGGGTTTGACCTCCCTGGGCACTCCTTCAGGGGAACAATCTATCTTTATCAGAAGGGAGTGGACCGTACTTAGGGTGGGACAGCCTACACAGTCTGATTGCTTTAGATGGCTGACAACCCCCAGGGAGAATAATGTCTGATCTGCTTTCATTGACCTCCAAGTGTTCAGTTATTTACCATGTGTAGCAAGCAGCTGGGTTTACCATATATTTGGGTGAGACAACTTGAGAAATATTTCTGTGTCCCACAAAGAAAAAAGTGAGGGAGATGCTGTCAGTTATCCAAACAGATGAGTTTGAAAAATGTTTCCAAGAATGGAATCGCAGATTTGACAAATGTATTAAATGTAATGGAGAGTACTTTGAAGATAAGGCTGTTCTGTAAAAAATATTAAATGCATACTTTTGGGGGGGAAAAATTCCAGGTGTTTTTGGGTACCTCCTCATAGAAATAGGAAAGCTGTCTTCCTCAGTCTGCAACTGATCTAGCCTGACAATATGTAGCTCTTGGGACCCCATGGAGCTACATCTCAGCCATTTCATTTTGTTTTTAGAGTCGGTTTTGACTCACAGTGACCCTATGTACAACAGACAACAAGCACAGTGCCCAGTCCTGCACCATCCTCACAGCAGTTATAATACTTGAACTCATTAAAATAATTAGAGGAGGGAAAATGTTTGAAGAAATTCAGCCAGCAAAATCCAGAGCCAGAATTTGAATCTAAATCTGTATGATACAATTTCTTCATGCTATGATAGTCATCAAGTTAGGTAATATAGGAGAAGTTCGCTTATGGGATGTCTTTGGCTGGGTTCTCTAGAGAAGCAAAAACCAGAGAGAGATTTGCATCAAGAAAATAGCTCACATAATTGTAGAAGCAAACAAGTTCCAAGTCCGAAGGTCAGATGTCAGGCTGGAGGTTTCTCCTGACTCTAATAGCTTCAGGATGATGAACCCAAGATCAACAGGCAGACCACAGCCTTGTGGTTACAGAGTTGAGTGAATCTAAGGTCAGCAAGTAAGATGACAGGCTTCTACGACTCCCAGGACAGGCAGAAAATATGGCAGGTTGCTGACTCAAATCCAAAAAACCAGAGGTTAGAGAATGAGCCTGAGACAGGACCCAGAGCCCCAAATGCAAGTAAGTAATCCTATGGCATCCACTTACATCGTAAGCACACTACAACCCCGAGGAAACTTCCTTTCAATTGACTGGGTCAAGCCTGTCATCTGAGTATAAGTGTTGCATCCCTCCTTAATCTTCTTACAATTTATTGCAGATCCCATTTTGGTAGTAATTACATTGTGTTAGATCACATCACGGGGGATTAATAGTCTTAAATGGGAAACCACAGAGAAACTTGGCCCAATAAAGTTGACCCAAAAGCATATCATATGAGGGAATGACAAAATCCATCATCATGACATGATGAATTTGAGGCCCTATGCGACATTATAGTGGAGTCATCTAATAAATTATTGGATATATTGATACTTATAGCAGTTATTTAACCTGGGCCTCAGTTTTCTGCTCTGTAAAATGGTGATATTACCTATCTTACAGGTTTAACAGAGATAAGGATTGTTGTATAGTATTGTACTCATACTGGAAATTCAATAAGTGAATGAAGTAATTAGTACCTATAAGATACATAATCTTTACTACACAATTTGGTTGTATACTTCCTTGAAAAATCTAGGCACAGGCAATGAATGTACAAATGCGCTTTACACAATTGATGTATGTATGGATTGTGATAAGAGTTGTATGAGCCCCTAATAAAATGATTTTTTTTTAAAAGAAAAATCTAGGCACTTACTTTCTGTATGCATAACTACACAATAAACTCCTCTGCATAACTACACAATAAACTCCTCTGCATAACTACACAATAAACTCCTCTGACTTTTCTTTTAGCTCTCCTAACTACAGAGTAAGTACTTAACAACCCTAACTGGTTGCTAGAGAAAATCGGTGACCTTGGAAGTGGATTAGGACTCAAAGACCATTTTCTTTTCCTATGGCTTTGGGATTAAAAGTTCCACTAGCTCATTCTGGCAACCTGAAGAAGGCGCTTTTTAACACCGTCCTCTTTTGTTCTCTCATTCTTTTTCTCGATAAAGAAGGTTGTGCAGTGGATGGTGTTAAGATATGAAAATAATAATAATTTATCAGCAGTCCACCAGGATGAGAGGATGGGGAGGGAGGGGGAAAAAGAGGAGCTGATACCAAGGGGCTCAAGCAGAAAGGAAAGAAAATGTTTTTAAAATGATGGCAACACATGTACAAATGTGTTTGATACAACTGATGTATGGATTGCTATAAGAGCTGTAAGAGCCCCCAATAAAATGATTTATGAGTGTGTGTGTGTGGGTTATAACTCTAGACTGCCTTTTGGGGTTTTAACTCATCTTTAGAGCAACATTAATTTTATTCTTAGAGAAGCAGGAGACATGACAAAATACGATTAGGAAAATACAGATTTTTAATGATAGAAGACTGTGCATTGGGGATTGGGCCTGGGAGGCTGGGAACAAAAACCACCTAGGGAGATCTTCAGTAAGGAGGATCTTTCAGATGGGAAGACTAAGACTTAGAACTTGACTTCAGTGTGTGTAGGATATATGGAGCCCAGGTGGTGTTGTGGATTGTGTGTTGGACTACTAACTGCAAGGTCATTAGTTCGAACCCACCAGCCATTCCATGGAAGAAAGAGGAGACTATTACTCCCATAAAGAGTTACAGCTTTGGCAATCGAATGGCAGTGGGCATAGGATCTGATTTGATGATGAGATAGTGCTTCTTCATTGCTGTATCTAACACAGATTCCTGGAACACATCACCCATCCCCAAAACATCTAGCATTCCCTGGTACCCCAATTCATAGGTATTAGGAGAGAAAAAAGTGTGTATAATATATACATGTACATATTATATATACACAATGTTCTTCAGGGTCAATGGAGCAATACAACCCCAATAAAGATTTGATGTTGATTCTTAAACCCATTAGAAGTACCTGATTCCCTCATCTTGGATCCAAGACAGGACTGGCTGCATAATTTGTGGACCCGAGTACAAAGTGAAAATACAGGACCCCTTGTTCAAAAACTGCGAATTTCACCATGGAAACAGCAGAGCATTGAAATAAGCACGGGACTTGCCTGAGGTCGCAAGCCTGTGAAACCAGCTCTCATCCAGAGATCCAAATCCACAACTACCTCTGGTTTCCTTCTCAGGCCTCCCTAAGCAGAAGATGAGACCCCCCCACCCCCCCTTCTAGTTCTTGAAATTCTTAGTTAGACCCCAGTCTCCTTTTTCAAACCTTTCCTGGAAACCTTTCGCAATATTTGCCTCCATCGTTTTGCTACTGACATACTGTATAGGGATGACCTTGCGCGCCCTTCCCAGCTTGTCCAGGATCTTTGCACAGAGGAGGCTGCAGATCTAGGCTCCTACTTCGGCAATAGGGAAAACCTCAGCAGGTCTGAAAAGGAGCAGCTTCTAATGAGTCGTGAGGCCCACACCCAGCAAACTGCCTCCCCATGTGTCAGCACCCAGCACCAGGGGCATGCTGGGAAACTTCCTCCCCAACCAGGCCTTTGCCCTAGGTCCGGAGTCTGTGCCCAGGCTAGGGAGTCACTGAGAACTCCTGGAAGCTGCAAACAACAGATGTTCCTTGGTTTCCAGAGACCGAAGGCCGTAATCCCGAACTGCAAACCCTGGCAGCTCCTGAGATCAGAGGGAAAGGCCAGGGTTGGCAAGACCCTCGACTTGAAGGTGACGTGCTACCTAAGAAGAACAGGTAGGGAACCTGTCAGGGGTCAGGGAGTAAAAGCAATAAAGCCGAAGTAACATGGGGAGTCAGACCCAGGTAGTTTTGGGAAGAGGCTCTGTGAAGGGAGAAGAGGACGGAGAGTGACCCCGAGCTGCCTGCCAACCCCTCCCATGCCCAGGGCACTGTGAGGCCTACCGAAACCTCTGAGGCATGGCAAGTGCAGAAGAGGAGCCAAGGAACTGTGTGGTATGTGGGGACCGAGCCACCGGTTATCACTTCCATGCCCTGACCTGTGAGGGCTGCAAGGGTTTCTTCAGGTAAGAGCCTCCTCCCAGTAGAAACCACCCCCCAAAGTGCCCGCCAGTCAGTCTCTGAGTCCTGGAACATGCCTGAGCTTGTCCCACTACATCACTCCTGTGTCCTAGAGCCCACCTACCCTGTGACTGGCATGGCACACCTTGAACAACACTATAGAAACAAGTGACACGGTAACAGGCCGACAGCCACGCTCCATTCACCAAGCGTCCTTATCATGAGCCCACTGCCTGTGAAATGCTGAGCTGAGCTCTGTGTCAAAGCTGCCCCGGTGGAAGCGCTGGCACCACCTGGGGAGACCTTATGCATAGTGCACACCAGCCCACATCGCAGGATTCCCAAGCCTTTCAGATCGCATCAGGCTCTTCGTTCACTGCTGTCCCCGACACTAACAAGACACGTGTCCCGCAGACGAACAGCCAGCAAAAGCATTGTCCGCACCTGCTCCTTTGCTGGAAGCTGTGAGGTCAGCAAGGCCCAGAGGCGCCACTGCCCAGCCTGCAGGCTGCAGAAGTGCCTCAGTGCTGGCATGAAGAAGGACAGTAAGTGGCCAGCTATCTTCCCAAGAATCCACTGTCTCTGTTATGCTCTTCTTTGCCCCTGTGTATGCACCCCAGAACAGTCAGATAAGCTTTTTGAAACAAAACGTCCGATGTCATTGTTTCCCTTGCTCCATCCATTGCAGCCACACTGACTGCCCACCTTCTTACCACCAGGACTGCTGCGCTTCCTTGCACCCTCTCCCCGAGAGGCCCTTCCCAGGGATATTCCTACAGCTTTGATCTCCTGAACATAGCACCTGTCACCGAGTAGGCCCTCAATCCTTATTTTATGTATTTAATGCTTCCTCTGTGCCACGTAGCCATGCCATGCTCCCAACAGATGATGTAATTGGACCTCACAGAGGGTCACGGGCCTAAGTTCAGTCAGCTACAAAGTTCGGGGCCGGTATTCAAACTCATGTCTGCCTGACTCCCACACTCCTGTTTCTTCCATGATGTCACAGTACCTTACAGCATGGAGCAATGGAAAGGAAATGAGAGAAGTCAAAAGATCTTGGTCGAAATTCAATCTACATCGCTTAAATATTCTATGACCTTGGACCTGTCTGGAATTTTTCTAAGTCCATTTACTTCTCGAAAAAATATGGATGAGCATATTTGCTCTATCTACCCAGAGAGTTCTTTCTTTCTTGAGGGTTCTTTCACCCAATGAGATTTAACATAAGAGCCTTGGAAATTAGAATGCTATGCAAATAGGAGGAGGGGTTTTAGGTATCAAGACCCCTCCCAACCCTACCTCCCACAGCCCAATCCTTTTACAACTCTCCCGCTTGGCTCCCCACTCTCTGCTTCTCCCCCAGAGATCACTGTTTCCACTCCGCTTCATTAGAGGCCAAGGAAACTCAAGAAAGCGTCTTCCCTCCAGACTCCATTGTTGAGTGGAGGCCTGGCTGAGAGAAGTGGTTTCCTTTGGCCGGCTTGTCCTCCACAGCTTTGTCACACTTCTTGCCCGGACAGTGATCCTGTCAGCAGAAGCCCTGGCCTTGCGGAGAGCAAAGCAGGCCCAGCAGCGGGCAGAGCGGGCGCCTCCGCAGCTGAGCGAGGAACAGAAGGAGCTGGTCCAGATACTTCTGGAGGCCCACACTCGGCACGTGGGCACCATGTTTGACCAGTTTGTGCAGTTCAGAGTAAGCTTTGGCAGGGCTGCGACTAAAGGAGGGCTCAGAAAGCTGGCCGAAGGGAGGAGGGCTGATTGGTAGGATATCTCCAGAGTCCTAACCTGGAAAGACCCTCGGACTGAGACCTCCTCTCTGACCTCTGCAGCCTCCGGCTCATTTGTTCATCCATTACCAGCCCATGTCCACGCTGGCCCCCGGGCTGCCTCTGCTCAAGCACTTTGCGGACATCAGCACGTTCATGGTACAGCAAGTCATCAAGTTCACCAAGGACCTCCCCATCTTCCGGTGAGTGACCTCCCATCACCTTTGAGAAGGCAAACACTCCAATAAATGACACACACACCCCAAAAAAGAAAAGTGGTTGATGAAATTAACCCATCCCTCACCCTTTGCAAGCACCAGGCCTGGAATTCACAGCTTTGCCAATGTCTCCATCTGGGGTGGTTGTTCCTCTCCTCTCTGAGGTCCAGGCTAGAAGTGAACATGCCCTTGTTTCCTGCTCCCTGCAGATCCCTGCCCGTGGAGGACCAGATCTCCCTCCTCAAGGGAGCGGCTCTGGAAATCTGCCACATCGCACTCAATACCACGTTCTGTCTCCAAACACATAACTTCCTCTGCGGACCTCTTCGCTATACAATAGACGATGGCGCCCATGGTGAGCCAGCGCCGGGCTAGCACCAGGCAGGAGTCCTCGTACGGCAGGGGGGCCGGGATGACCTGGAGGACCCTAAGCCTAGTATCTCCTATAGTGGGCTTCCAGGGAGAGTTTCTAGACCTGCTCTTGCGCTTTCACGAGAACCTGCGGAGACTGGAGCTCCAGGAGCCGGCCTATGTGCTCCTGGCTGCTGTGGCCCTCTTCTCCCCTGGTGAGCACCCACGCCCCCAACAGAAGCTTCTGCTCCAGCACCTGTCCCCGAAACCCCAGCCCCTTAAATCTACCCAGTGGGTCTACCCATCTCAGGCCCAGGAAACACCGTACAGCGCCCCCTGCCCACACCTGTCTGCCCATCCCGGCTCCCTACCTTGCAGACCGGCTTGGGCTTACTCACAGAGAAGAGATCGACCAGCTGCAAGAGGTGCTGGCCCTGACTCTGCAAAACTACATCCAGGGCCAGCAGCCACGGCCACGGGACCGGTACAGTGGGAGCCTGGGGGGTTGGGGGTCCCACTGGGGAAAGGAACTAGGGAGGCCTGAAGCGCAGGATGAATCTCTTTCTGGTTCTTTCTTTGGGGAAACCCAGACTCCCTGGGGGCAGCCCTTCCCTCTGGCCATCCCCATCTGGGCAAATAGTCCCTGCTGCTGTTTCACCTCACTTGTTCCAGGTGGTTTTTTTGTTTTGTTTTATTCAGTAGAGAGATGCAAAGTAGTAGCTCACAGGCCCAGTCTGGTAGCATTCCTGAGATTGATGGCACCCACCATCTCCTCCAGTCCAGCGTGTGCGCCAGGCTCGCTGTTCTTAGCCCTTTGCCTAGCCTCCACTGAGCCAATTCCTTCCATTTCTCATCCCCTCCATACAGTCATTCACAGTTTCATGGCTGAAGCCAGGGACTGGCTCAATCTCTCCAGACTCTGAGGTATGTTTCACCTCTGTTGATACTCAGTCCTCAGTGAGCCAATTTGGCCAGAAAAGGGACTCTATCCCATAGAACACACCCACCTTCTAGACTCTGCTCTAGGTCAGACCCTCCAGAACAGTGGTTCTCAACCTTCCTAATGCCTCGACCCTTTAATACAGTTCCTCATGTGGTGGTGAGCCGCCAACCATAAAATCATTTTCGTTGCTACTTTATCACTGTCATTTTGCTAGTGTTATGAATAGGGCGACCCCTGTGAAGGGGTCGTTTGACACCCCCCCCCAAAGGGGTCCAGACCCACAGGTTGAGAACTGCTGCTCTAGACTTCTAGACTCTAGAAGATCAGAGCCTCAGGTCACAGAGCTGATGTTTGGGGTTGGAGTCTGGAGCCTTTTGCACATTTGGCCGGCAGAGTTCTGAATTCACAGGGAATGGGTATGGGGAGAGAAGACGTTGGCAGAAGGTGGCCTCCTTGGGGACCTTTAGAACCTTTGATTGATTAGTCATACCACAACATGACTTTCTCTAGAGATCTGACTAGCTTCACTGAGGGACAGTTCAGAGGACCAGGGCCACAGGAGAAGACTACCAGCTACCTCCTTTCCCTCTTCCCGCCCTGGCAACCCCACTGCTTCCTCCGAAGGTTTCTGTATGCGAAGTTGCTGGGCCTACTGACTGAACTCCGGAGCATTAACAACGCATATGGGTACCAAATTCAGCACATCCGGGGGCTGTCCGCCATGATGCCACTGCTGCAGGAGATTTACAGCTGAACCCCGGGCTCACGTCCTTCCCAGCCCTCTTGGGATCCACTTCACTGGGAATGGGGGAAGTAATGGGGCCAGGAGTTGGGACCAACCAAAGGGACCCAGTGGGTGCAATGAAAGACTTAAGCAATAACTGCCTCTTCATGCTGTTGTGGGGGGAATTGGGAGTGACCATGGAGACAAAGACAGTCTCTGGAAGCACAGAAGAGGGAGAGCAGCCTTGTCTCAGAGCTTCCAGTGAAAGCTCCTTCTGGGCTTTTGAAGCCAAAGAGTTAACCCTTTCAACCCTTCTTTTCAAGTCTTGGGAGACTCTAGGCTAGAAAAAAATATGGGAAGCTAACCCCATGCTGAATTTTCTGCTCCAAAGAGGAAGAGACCTGGCTTTTTTATCCAAAGGGGGGAAAAAAGAAATGGAAGGGAAACTTATCCAGATGTACCCTTCCTTAATCTTTCCCTTTTAGTCCAAAGCCCTAAGAGCATGAGGAAGATGAGAGTGGGGCTGGTGGGAGAGGTGGGAGCCTCAAACCACTGCCTCATCAGCTGCTCCTGTCGCAGCTCCAGTTCTGAGGAGGGAATGGTCCTGTCCCCACTCTGGGGTGCCCATCGAGGTGAGCTCTGGAGGGGGGCCTCGTCTCTGGCCTCAGGGCACCTGACGCCGAGGTGGAAGCTGCTGTGGGGTCCCAGGGACAACCTCAGCCCACAGTGATGCTGAAACCACAATGGAATCTGTTCCGCCAGTGACTGAGGAATGCTCCGAGGGCTAGGGTCACCGGCAAGGGGGGCATCTTCTTTTCCAGGACAGCACCCACACACCAGTTACTATCCACCAAGCCTGTTGGGGAAGAGAGCACCAAATAGCTTACTCAACAAGGCTTGGAAAAAGAGGTCAGTAGAAATAAGGCAGGGCTTCCTTGTCTTCCATACCCCACGAATCCCTCAGCACACCCACACATCTTGTGATAATCCTCACCTCGAAAGACCATGTTGGCCTGGGGCAGAGTGAGGTGGTAACCAAAGGAGAAGGTCGTGTCCTGCAGCCTTGTGTTTGCCTCAAATTCCACTCCAACCTGAACCTGGAAACCATGGGCGAGGATGGGAGAGGAATCGGCATCAGCGAAGAGTAGAGGGGTCCTAATAGAGGATGAGTAGCATCCAAAATGCAGGCACTCGTAAAAATGTAAGGGAGGTGTAGACGGGGAGAAAGGGAAGGCAGCATGGCCTGAGGAGGTCCTGAGAGGCAAAAGAGTAGGGCTGAGGTTGGGCTGGAGGGTGGGAGGAGTGTCTCACCTGTTCATTTGCTTTGTGGTAATAACTTGCGTGGGCCCCGCCTGACCCTACATTCAGTGTAGCTTCCCAGTGTACAGCTATAAAACGTGGGGGAAAGGAACAGGACTGCAGGAGGATCTGGGGCAGGGGCCCCAACAAAGTCCACAAATGCCCCTCCCTGTAACTAGCCCCACTCAGCCCGTACCCGAGTACTTCCCAGCCAGGGTCAGGATGGCTCCCTCTTCGCCTGGCCGCCGGTGGTACACTAGCTCTCCCCCCAGGACTAGCCGGTGGGTGAGGCTCTGCAGGAAGTGCGCGACCATGATCACTGCGGAGGAGGAGAGACGTGGAGTCGGAGGGCAAGCCGAGAGACGAGAGTCCAGCCCAGTGCACGTGGCCCCAGGAACCCTGGCCCCAAGTAGGCGCCTCTCCTGAACCCAGAATAAGCCAACATTAGCAAGTGGGCAACCCAGAAACCCGGCCCGATCGACGCCTCACCGGACTCCCCAATCAGGTCAGGATTCCCTAGGGTCAGAGTGGCTGTGTAGTCGTCTCCCCGATACTCGCCGTCAAATTGCCAAGTCAGGAACTTGGCCTGCTGCGTCTGGGTGAAGAAAACAAGAAGTGAAAGCTCCGTCCTCCATCCCTAAGTCGGTGCCTCTGCCCCACCCACTAAAGTGCCCCCCCAGCGGGTCACTCGTTGGGAAGCGAGAGGAAACGGCTCAGCGGACGCGGGTACGAGGCAGTCACCTGGAAGACAGCCTTAGTGCGAAGCCGCTCGGCCAACAGGAGCAGGACCTGGGCGTTGAGGCTGCCACTGCTGTCCATGTCCCCGACCACCGTGGGAAACACCTGTGGAGAAGGCAGAGCGGAGGTTGAGCGGGACCATCTCCTGAACCGCTCATGGAGCCCCTGGCGGGGACCCAAGGACAAGCCCTGCTCTTCAAGGTCCATTCAGAAGACTCAGCACCAAGCGCCTGGCCCCTGCTCCCCCAGGACTCCCACGGCTCCTCCTCCTCCGGACCCGGCTTCCAGATGCGGTTTGAGGGAGATGACCCCGGGGTGGGGAGTCCTCACCTCACTGGGGCTAAGTTGACAGTCCCCGGCATAGACGGCGTGGAGGTGGTAGCCCGGCAAGCCCAAGGCACTCATGTGCACACTGTGTGCCACCTGAGAAAAGAAGTCCGTGGGCGAGAGCCTCGCTGCATCCTTTCAATCCTGCACCCCATCTTCTCCCCACCCAGAGGGGCTTCACGGTGGGGGTCACTGGCTGAAAAGCTACAGCCAGGGAGGTAAAGGGAGCCCCACATTCTCCCTCATTTGACTCAGACCGTCTGGCTCGGGCCAGAATACAGAGGAAAGGAGAGGGCAGCTCGAGGACAGGCAAGGAAGGGTCAGGGATGTGGGAGCACCTGGAAATGGCTGCTCAGAACCTTGTTGACAACCAGCTTCACGCCTTCCATCTGGGCTGGAAATACGTCTGAAGGGGCCATGAGGGGACGGAAAGTAATACAAGCGTAAAGGCACACAGAAGGGGAACCTCCCTACCCCGTGAGGTCGTCTCCTCTTTGGATGAATTGACCTCCTTTCAAGACCTGCACAGAAATGCCCCACTGTACTGGGGCACCTGGTCCTCCTGGACCTTGGATGCCCGGCTGTGGCAGCCCCTTCCTGTTCCCATCCCTGGGCACCCTTCCTCGGCGCCTTCCAACTTGAGATCCTGTCATGCCAAGTTCTCACCTTTGCACAGCCGGTGCAGCTCATCGAAGCTCCCAGGGTTGGGCAGAGGTTCCTCCCGGCGGGGGGTCCGGCGGGGCACGGCCCCCATGGGTGCCAGGCCCAATGTGTTCCCCATTTCAGCCCGCAGGAGAGGGGAGGGGCCGGGGCTGGCCTGGGAAAGAACGCTATTGCTCCCTCGACCCCCCACGGGCCCCACCCCCCATCTTCAGGCTCCCCACTCCCAGACACTTCCACATGGTGGGACGCTGGATCTGAAATAGTAAGAGGAGAGGGCACCGATGGAGAGATCGAACCCCATGCACACACCCGTCCCATCTGATCCTCACCCCCACCTGTCACCCCATCTCCTCCACTCGCTAGTCCTGGCCGCTGCCACAGACGTCACCCAGCTTCCCAGTTTTTCTGCTCTGCATCCCCGGTTCCCCAGGCCCGGCTCATACGGAACAGAAGCCCTTACCGCGTCAGACCCCCTTGCTGCCCCCTTTCCCCCGGCACACCCCGGTCATCTTGATGGGGGCGGCCATCTTGAGTAATGGCAGAGTAAGGGCTTCACGGTGCATTTTTAGTGTGGTCACAAACGCCATCTTGGAAACGGGCGAAAAAAAAATAAAAAGATATCAAAGAACCAACCTACCGCCCCGTTCCCTACTAGGCCCCGCCCAATGGATGAGGGGAAAAATAAAAAAGGCCGCCTTGTTCTCGCAGTGACCAATGGGAGAGAGGAAGTAGAGGAGTGACGGGTCTCCAGGCCCGAGCGCCCCAATCGGACGCGGCGGCAGCAGCACCTTAAACGTGATTGGTGGACCGTGGACTTCCCTCCAGAAGGCCGGAGCTCGCGCCCTCTCCAAGGTCGGCCGACGCTGCGCGCGTGCTGGACGCTAGAGGGAGCAGCTTGCACTTGGGCCTCGGGAGCGCCCTCCAGACCTCCGAGAAAGCAGCGGCGCAACCTGGGCTCCTGGCACCTCTTTGGAACACTGGTATGGACCTCTGAGAATCCCCGGAGATTCCTCCCGAGCGGCTTCCACTCCTCGGTACACCTCAATAAGTCCTGCTTCCCCACAGCCCTGGGAGGACAACGGCACACACATCCTGTGCCCTCCCGGTGGAATGAGGGTGGATGTGAGAGCAGCAGGCACTGGAGCCTTCGTTCGAAGAGAACCGTTCCCTGAAACAGCGGACCCTTTTCCCCTGAAGAGCCCTTCCCCGCCCCGTCCCCCCACCCCCACCGCCAGACTGGAAAGATGACAAATAAAATCCAGGAATGCAGAATCGGGTCCCCAAATGCACTCCAACCCAGGGCCTGGGGCACAGCCACGAGATGACACTGGCACACTCAACACGCCACCAGAGGGTGATTGAGAATGGAGGATTTCATGAGCTTTGATACACACACACACACACACACACCCCTTCTCCCAGGAAGTATCCCTTGAGGACACTGGTGAAAGATGCAAATGCTTTTGATAACTATTTAGCCGATTTTGCCTAAATGCCTCGGGCTTAGGGGATGAACCTTTGCCCTTCCTCATAATCAGGGCCGGAACAAGGGCCAGGGTCGTGGCTGCAGGGATGCCAGTGTCCCTGCTGACTCAATATTGACTGACCCAGAACTGATAAGGTGAGCAGTTGACCTTTAACCTTTAGCTTGGTCTCTCATCCCCCCCCTCCCCCGAAACATCTGTTAGGAGGCGGAGAATGGGGGCTGCTTTCTCAATTTGTTTTATTGATTGATCAGCCCCCAGGAAAGTTATTCTGAACTTTCATGTTTTTTGGTTCCCACCCCCGCCATTACACATTAACTCAGAAAGGGGACAGAGTCACCTGCCCTCTGCCCCTAACCCCCATTCCCCTGAGCCCCGTTCTCCTCCATCTTGCCCTGGATTTCAATACCCTTCTCCTCTCTCTTCTTTCCCCAAACCCACTCTGCCAAATTGCAATGAAAATGGCGTAGGGGTGAACGTGGGTATGTGTGTGTGAAATTTGCCTGGATGGACTGAATCAACTACAGGCTAAGGGCTATGTCAGGGCTTCCAGAGAAAGAACTGGAGCCTGACTTCCCACAGCATTCAAAGCCAGGAATGCCCAGGTACGTTGCCCACCCCCACCCCAAATAAATGAATCCCCAAAGTTCACCCTCTTGGCCTCCACTAAGCCCTGCAGCCCCAGCCCCTCACTTCATCAACAGGAGTCCCCATGCGTTTGTCCTCTCCTCCCCCACGTCTCCAGCTTGTTTATGGCAACCCCCCCTACCCACCAGCCCTCTCCGCACTACGTGTCACCTGATAGGAGGAGGGGACACAGGCAGGAATATATATCCACTGCCTCCCCATCAGGCTAGTCACAGACACCAAGGACAGAGGTACCCACTAGGTAGGGAAAGGGAGCAGGAAGCTTTTGTGATACCCAATGAGGGCTGGGTTTTGTGGAAAGCGAGGGAGCAAGCAGGCTGGTGAGGTGGGGTGCCGAAGCCCACTGGTTCCCCTTCTGTTCCTAGGCCACCTTCCCTGTCGCTACCACCATGAAGCTGCTTGCAATGTCCGTGCTTCTCCTCACCATCTGCAGCCTTGAAGGTAGGTGAGCTCTGGGGGCCCACGGAGGACGGTGCTGAGGGTCCTAACTGCCCATCTGTCTGCATTCCTACGTCTGGGTCTGACAACCGCAGGCTCAAAGGGGAAATGATTCTCTCTTGAAAACCCAGAATTGGTTACTTGTGGAACCCAACAAGAAGAGTCCATCCGTGTGTGTGTGTGTGTGTGTGTGTGTGTGTGTACACAGGTGCCTTGGTTCGGAGAGAGGCGGAGGAGTGCACTCAGCCGAGCATATTCTCCCAGTACTTCCAGACCGTGACCGACTATAGCAAGGACCTGATGGAGAAGGCCAAGGCCTCCGAGCTTCAAGCCCAGGCCAAGTGAGTCACAAGGAGGGAAAGAAGGGAGGTCCCAGGGAGAACTGAGCACAGCGGTGGGGGCTAAGGGCATTAAAAAAAAGAAAAACCTTTCTTGACACCTCACCCCCCCCCACCCCCCGCCCGATTCTACTAGCCTCCTAGACAGGGGTATCAGGAAAGGGTCCTTGAATCTCTCTCTCTACTGCAGATTTCTCTGACTTATGCGAGTTGGGTTTTTTCCTCCTCCTGGGGGCTTTGCCATACCAGGATAGATCAGGCACTAGAATTTGGGGATCTGGTTCTGTATTCTCTGAGCTCCCACTAAAAATCCCCTCCCAGTGCCTAGGGTCCCTCAAACTGCTCTTGCTTGTGCTCTCACTCTGCCAATGAGTCCATTCCAATTCTTCACAACCGTACAAGACAACAGTCCCTCTGGGTTTCCAAGACTGTAGCTCTTTATAGGATCAGAAAGCTTCATCTGTCTCCCTCGGAGCGGCTGGAGGTTTCAAACTGCTGACCTTGTGGTTAGCAGCCCAATGTAACCCCTATGCCATCAGGGCTCCAAACTGACCTTTAACCCTCCCATATCCAGGGATTACTTTGAGAAGACTCGGAAGCAGCTGACACCTATGGTCAAGAAGTTCGGGTCAGAACTGTTTCAGTTCTTCAACTCCTTTGTGGACACAACCCCACCGCTGCCTGCCACCAAGTGAGGCGTCCACACCGCCGTCTGGCATCCTCATCTGGACCCTACAACTCGCTGCTCAAGCCCAGAGCCCCTCTCGATGCACCTCATTTTCTAAATAAACCAATACTGAGAGTGAAACTGTGAGCCTGCTGTGTCTTGGGGGTGGGAGGAGATTGGAGACGTCAGAGAGGAGTGAGGAGGAGGGACACAGAGCGATCAGATTTTAAAAGAAGGGTTTGGAGTTGGAGAGACAGAGTGTTGAGGAGCCAGAAACAAGGTCCAAATGGCAGAGCGGTGGTGCCTGTGATCCTTAATTCTTTTCCAAACCCTAGAAATCTCAGCTAGATGCCTATCTGGTGAAGGTCCATCCCAAACTCCTCCCCTTCTATTCTCAAAGTAGTTTTCTTTTTGTTGTTATTGTTTTCTTTTTTTAATCATTTTATTGGGGGCTCTTACAACTCTTATGTTGCTGTCATCATTTTCATAACATTTTCTTTCTACTTGAACCCTTCCTATCAGCTCCTCGTTTTTTTTCCTTCCCTCCCACCCCCCTCCCTCAAGGTAGTTGTCATAGAACTCGCAGCTAGCACTGGCCCTTTACGTAGCTGGCCCATGTGATGCTGTGGAAGACTAGAGAAACTCAGGGAGAAAAGTGACATCCAAATGGAAGGGAAACCAGGCGGGACCGATGCGGGTGGGGAGGGTCACAACCTCCAAATGCAAAGTCAGGGATACATGAAGCATTTTCTAATTAAAATGTGTTCCCACTTTCCCTTTGAACCTGTGCTCCCCTACTTTGGCTCATTTCTCATATCTCCCCTGAAGTCACCTTACCCCTAAGACACTGGAGATGGCTCCGATTTCTTCCCTGTCGTAACCAACCTCCTCAAGCTGACCTTCAAGACTTTCACCACTCATAACTATTTCCTGGTTCCTCGCATCCTTAATATCTTTTGGGGTTTTTACCTCAGGTGGCAAAACGTGTGGGTTCAAAGAGATCTCAGTCTGAACTCCAGCTCGGTTATTTGCTCGGTGACCTTGGGCAGGTTAATGAATTCCAGAGTCTGAATTTCCTCACAGGGTTAATGGAATGAGCAATAGTGCACTGAGCTAGAAAACACTTCGAAAAGTGTGAGTCCCTATGCAAAGTAGAGCCCGGCACTAGGTTGGCAGGGAGAAGCTGGACTCATCCTGGCAGAGCTGTTGGCTCCGAGGTGGGCCTGGTGGCAACTGATGGGGTCCAGATACTTCCAGGGCCTCTTGTCTCTAGCAGAGCTAGAAACAGGATAGGCACTGACCAGAGGGTTTCCTTGAGCCCCTGCTCATGTGTTCAGAAGAGCTGACCTTTCATCTGGACTGGACTTGTTGACCTTTGCTCAGCCTACCCATCCTTATCTGGCCCTCGAAGGCCCCTCTTGTCCCAGAGGCTGCTAAGAAAAAAACACATCAGTGTCCATAAAACCTTTCAGTAGCAATGAATGTACAAATGTGCTTTAGACAATTGTGATAAGAGTTGTATGAGCCACTAATAAAATGATTGTTTTTAAAAAGCAAGATAATGACAATAAAATTTTTTTTAAAAACCTTTCATTAGGACCCATGGCCCAATTTTACTTCCAACATCTCAGCTGCACGTTTGGTTTTCAGGAATAAGTTAGAATCAACCCAATGCCAATGGAATCAACTGTGGCAATTGAATAGTGTGTGTGTGTGTGTGTGTGTGTGTGTGTGTGTGTGTGTGTGT